CAGGCATGTCCCACCGGGAGGAGGCCCCGGGGCAGACCCAGGACACGCTGGAGAGATTATATCTCTCGGCTGGCCTGGGAACGCCTTGGAGGAGGCTGGGGAGAGGGAGGTCTGGGCCTCTTTGCTTAGGCTGCTGCCCCCGTGACCCGGCCTCGGATAAAGCAGATGAGGATGGATGGATGGATGTTTTTGGAATGACTTTCCCACCTTCCTAGCAAAAGAGAAAGAAAGGAAAAGCAACTCAAGACTTTTGCACAGTAGTGTTTTTTGTTTTTGTTTTTTTAAGTATTAACCCACACTCCTCCCAGGTGATACCCTCACACTGAACATTTGACACTAGGGGTCAATGGCTGCATCTGCAGATTGAAGCTGTGTGAAGTCAAAAAAGGGGATACTCAGTGGCCAGGTGAGAGTAGAGACAGGACAAAGTCAATACATTTAAGTCTAGATTAAAACTAGAGCAGCTGTCTTCTAAGGCAGAAGACAGAATCTAGCTAAATCCAGTGGAGTGGTTTGGTTTAAACTAGATTAAAACCAATAATTATATATTTTAAAATAAAATAATTAAACATACTCACCGAAAATGGATTTAGCTACATTCTGGACCGCGTTTCCGAATGCAGTAGGTAGCGAGCTGACTGGAGACCGTAACAGCCAATCAGAATTTTTGCATCAAGTCTGTGATTGGCAGGTTTTGTGGCACACTTATAACGGTGTACAGTGGTCCCTCGTGGTTCACTTTTCGCGGCCTCGCGGTCCTGATTGTAGACCATTGTCAATCAATCTCGTGCCTCCTGTCTCCTGAATAGTACAGAATGCGTTCAGTTGTCCAGTTTATATAAATATTCGATCGTTAGCGGTGTGACTCTGAAATGCTGTACTGTATGTTTGTACGTTTTCTCCCCAACAAACACCACAATGTCGACGAAACGTTTTGCACCGTCGTCAAAGGCACCTGCGGGTACCTTTGGTTTCATTCTGTGATACTGGACTTATTTTTCTACGAAGGTTTGAAGTTTGAGAGTGTTTAAACAAGAGAGAAAAGTGTGAAAATGTTCATGCCTGTCTCAGAAAAATGTATAAAGTGTGTAGTCCGGGGTTTTACAGCCTTAAAACATCTATAATAACTGTAAAAAATAAAGTTGGCTACTTCGAGGATTTCATCTATTTCATAACTCCCGCGATAAACCAGGCACCACTCTATAGAGAGTTGAGCGCGCACGAAGCAGAGATGTGAGCACGAAGACCTAGGGCAGGTCCGCAGGTATCTGTCTGCACACAGCAGAGATCTGAGCAAGAGCAAATGCCAACAACTGAGCGAGAGGGGCTGTTATTGTGTGTGCAATAATAACAAATAATAGCAAACACTGAAATACATTTCTTGCATGCAGAAATTAATTTTGTCCCCTCAAATTAAACTTTTCTTCGCGCAAAATAACCTTCTTCTCAAAATGCAACATTTGCGCATGCATTTCTTTTAACGTGCGATCAGTATAATATACTTAGTTATTTCTTGGATGACTTAAAACTTTTTTAAAGGCATTTTTAATGACCAGCAGGGGGCAACACCTCTAGTTGCAAAAATAAATCTGTTTGCACAGAAGACTACTGGAAAAAAGTTTGGACTCTTTGCTCTATTACTGCAGTAAATAATCATTTTCTGCCTTAGCCACTCATTTCAGGTCATATTGAATAAAATATTATATCAGGGAGTTTTGTTTTGTAAATAAAGTATAGTTGTTAGCAAAGATAACGAAGGCAAAAACTATCAGCATGAGGCTCCAAAACAGGATTTCATTAACCGATGAGCGATTTGACAGTGTTACATCCATGTTGTCTATAGATTAAACAAGGAGGGCGTGCATTCAGTGGCTAATACTAATCATATACAATGAAATTTAACATGTTTTGTTAAACAGGTACAAAAAATGTAGCACGTTACAGGCTGAATTGCTCATTTTAAAGGTGCCTTAAATTTGAAATCTTTTCCTAATTTTTTCATTAGAAGAAGAAAAAAAGAGAAAGCAAAAAGAAAGAAAAAAAAAGAAAGAAGAAAAAAAAACAAACAAAAAAAAACGTGCGATCAGAGAAGAGGCACAGAAATAAACAATACTTTGGGCTGATGTTAGCAAGTGTACATTCATAGAACCAGTAAGTCACGTTGGGAACCTATTTTTTTTTCTGTTGCAGTTAATTTACCCATGTAGACACCCATTACTACTGCCTGTGTGACAGCTATGCTGTAGAAGTAAAGTAGATAGTAGCCTGGCTTCACAGGGTATTTCTAAGTTGTTTTCTGTTGTTGTGGAGAGTAATTGTTCAGAAAGGTTTTACCTGATGCAGTTACTGTGCTAACATACGAACCTGTTCTTGCTAATAACCCCTGTGTAAACATAGCGGCATTTGATTGAGCAATTGTGTCCACTAGAGGGTGGTGTTGATTTAATCTAAATTGGCTCCTTTGCCCAGGTGTGCTGGGGCACAAGCGGTTAATAGCTTTTAAATGGTTTTCATTTTCTGTTTTATTGATTTTACATTGCACGATTAATCAGATAAGAGGAGCAGGGAGTTAGTACATTTAAAATTGTCAGCCCCACGTCAGTGATGATTTGGTACAAAAACAGACACGCACACTTCAGGGCCCTTTTGGAAATATTTTAGTATTATTATTGTTGTTGTTGTTGTTATTTGCCTGTGCCATTTGTCACTTTAGCAATCAGAATTGTTTTCTTAAGGCCAGCCAAGAAAAACAGGGGAACGGGGGACAGTAAGAGAAGACACTGAGAGAATCCGTTGGATCACCTGTTAAAACAAGAAAAAAGAAAACAAACAAGAGAACAACACAATACAGAGATCAAAGCAACAACTAGATATGTATAAGTAACAGTAAATACTAAATATTGAATGTTATTGAGCAGCACGCAAGGCCAACAGCGCACAATATGCTTTAAGATAGCATACAAGGAAGATATAGTTTGTGTCTGTGAGCACCCGTGTGTACACCTGTGTGCATGAACGCACTTGAGTTCAAAAGGTTTCTCCATGTAACAATCTGCTAGAGGGTGTGGGAAGCCATAGCCCTGGCCCCAGAGCATGAAGCAGCCATGGAGAAGACCCAGGCCCCAGACATCCAGAGGCCCTCCAGAGTGTGAAAGCCCAAGGAGGACCACTGGAGAGGCAAGTGCACCACATTCCCAGAAAGAGCTGAGGAGAGCAACAGATGTGGGGTCACCCAGCAGCCACGGTGCAGATGCCACAGGTGGCTGCGGTGATGAGCCCACAGGCCATGCTGGCAGACAGTCATGCCAGAGCGGATCGAGCCCCAGTCCCTGAGGTCCGAGGGAACCCCACCCCCCAGATAGGGTCCGACCTGGCCAGGGGCGCCAGGCCTCACCAAGCAGCCAGTGGGAGTATGCGGGGTACATACCTGAGCGCCCAGCCCCAGACACTGAGAACCACCAAAGGTCCTGAGGGCTGAGGGCATCAGTTTGACATAGACAAACTGGCACACACAGACACAAGCATACATTCCCACCCTCGTGCACATAAATACAAATACTCAGCACTCGTGCAACGTGGAGACAAACAGAAATGAACACTATACACCCTTTCACACTTCTCAAACATACTCTACACTCCGAGGTTCAGGTACCACCGTCCCCAGGGGGGCAATGAGCCCCCAGAGCCAGGAGATGTTACCCTTTTCCCTGGGGTGGACGGTCGGACTGCCCCCGGCCCGGCAGCTGCAGGGATGGCCCAGCGTCCCAGACCCCGACCAGACTGCCAACTCCTCCCAACCCCCTGCCCCGATCGTGTACAGAGAATGGGGGTGTGAAGACCCCACACCTTACTCAGCCCGCTCATATGTCTTGTTGATGTGTAATGTTCTAAAGTGCATTTAAAACACAGGAGTGGCATGGTGCTTCCTGCCAGGAAGCATTAGGTGTCAGCACAGCCCCTCCTGGGGCATCGGCCCCAGGAAAGACTATTATTTAAAGTTTGCTGTGTTTTCGGAGAGTAACAATGCACCGTGTCATACATTCAAACTACAAAGCATACCAAATGTTCTTACTTTCTTTGAAGAAAGTACTGCCCCTGCCCCAGTCTAAGAACTGAGACTGAAGGAGTCACTTGGATGAGTGACGAAATGTTTCTCCCACAAAACGCTACGTCCAGATGAACAGAATCAACTTTTGGAGATCAGCAGGAATACTTCAAAGAAATGACAGCACAGTAAACACAAAAAGGGAGAAACATTAGTAGCAGTAACCCAAATTATCCCCAATGTTAAATCTGCACTCATCAATCATGCTTGTTTTTCATGTGTTGATGTTTGTAGTCATTTGTAACCA